AGAAAGAAAGAAAGAAAGAAAGAAAGAAAGAAAGAAAGAAAGAAAGAAAGAAAGAGAAAAGAGGAAGGGAGGAAGGAAAGAAGGGAAAGAGAAGGGAAGGGAAGGGAAGAGAAGAAACGAATGAACGGACAAACCAGTCTTGCAGGTGTTTGCCGAGTTTCTGCCACAGCACCGTGGGGCCTGCCTGCTTCTAGGACCTGGAATTGGAGATACAAGTAGTTGTGAGCTGCTTGTGGGTGCTGGGAATTGAACCTGGGTTGTCTGGAAGAGTGTGCTTAACCTGCCGAGCCATCTCCCTACCTGTTTTCGCCTTCCTTTTTCTTTCTATTCTTTAGGCTGGGCCACTATGGCTTTAATCCTTGCAGAGGCAGATGGACTTTGTGAGTCTGAGGCCAGGCTAGTCTGCATGGCATAGTCAGGGGCAGTCAGGGCTACCCAGTGAGAGCCTGGGCATGTTTTTTCTTGGTGTTCTGAGCTTCCTCACTCCCACTGAAGCCCCCCCCACCGCCCTCCTACCACGAAGCTGCTTACAAATGACATGGTTTTCAGTTTCTCTCTTCCTCTTCTACCCTCTCCTAGCAGCTGCCTGGATTTACAGCTTTCTTTCCCTGCTGTTTTAATCTTAGATCCCTAGTAAATTGTCCTCAAGCTTCAGAGAGAGAGAGAGAGAGAGAGAGAGAGAGAGAGAGAAGGTCTTGCCATTTAGCTCAGAAAATCCTCAAACTCCAAATCCTCCTGCGTCAAATCTCCTAAATTCTGGAATTTCAGAAATGTGTCACCAAACCTGTCTGGCTTAAAATCCAGTGATGCTGAGGTCTCTCTTTAGGCCTCTCTTTCATGAGGGGGAGAGTCTGAGGTGGATGGAAGTTGAGCCCCTGAAAGGCAGGCTTCTCCACGTCAACTTGACCGGATCTGGAATACCTAGGAGGCCAGCCGCTAGACAGCTGTGAGGGATCATCTAATCATCTCTGGGCAGACTTGTGAGGAATTAGTTATTAAGTTGAGGTGGGAAGATCCACACTAAAAGTGGGCAGCACCATTCCCCGGGCTTGGGTCCTAGACTGTATAAGAAGAAAGGAAGCTGGACATGAGCATCCATCACTGCTTTCCGCGGATTTGATGTGACCAGATGCTTAAAGACCTGCGGCCTTGGCTTTCTCGCTATGATGGACTGTGAGCTAAGGTAAGCCCTTTCTCCCTTGGCTTTGGTCAGGTGTTTATCACGCAACAGGAGAAGAAACAAACACTGTGGACTCTGTTTCCTCTGGAGGGTGAGGGAGAAGTGGGAGAGAAAGGATATGAGATTGGGAAGGTCAGGCTGGAGAGATGGCTCAGTGGTTAAGAGCACTGGCTGCTCTTCCGAAGGTCCTGAGTTCAATTCCCAGCAACCACATGGTGGCTCACAACCATCTGGTGCCCTCTTCTGGCCTGCAGGCATACATGCAGACAGAATACTGAGAATACTGTATACATAACAAATAAATAAATCTTAAAAAAATATTTTTTTAAAAAAAAGAGGTTGGGAAGGTCACCTGACACTCATCCCAACCACACCGACACACAGTCCTTCCTCTGTACCCCAGCATCTCCCTGCATCGCAGCATGGTGACAGAACAGTTGCAGTCAACTGTCAGGTGGGGCTATGGGGGGAGGCAGTGTCTGCTTCCAAGGTGACGTGGCTGTGGCAGGTAGTCTGCAGCTGGTCAGTTTGCCTGAATGTCCTCATGAGACGGTGGTTGTGAAAGGAGAAGGAAGACATTGTCGTTAATGACCCAGCCTCAGACGCAACACTTCAGGAGCCATTGTCTGTGGGCCACAACCCTGATTCAGGGTGAGACAGTCTTACCACCCTGATTACCAGAAGGGAAGCAATCTGGGGGTTGGCTACCACAGCTCACACCTCCTTAGGCCTGGTGTAGCCAGAAGCCCCCAAGGTTGTCCTAGCATTTCCTGTGACTCCTAAGACTAGACCGAAATGTGCCTCCTTGATTCTCCAACCTTAAGTCTTCTCCCTCTCATTCCCACATCCTGGTCACCAGGGGTGGGGAGGCACGTGGTCTTTCACTTCCTCCCTCCAAGCTCCCGCCCAGCAGGTTCCTGAGTTCAGGAGCCCTAGAGCCTCCATCTTGGGGGAAGTCATAGCAGTTGTGTTTGCAGACATCTTGATGACACCAAGACATTTTTATAACGTCCATTGACTGGGGATACGGAGCTACTCTCAGTGGTTAGCAGCCGGGGTCACGGCCAAGGCCAGGGAAGCAGCTGAATGGAGGACGGCTGCCGGGACTGAATCCTCTACTTTCTGACATGCTCTCAAAACTGGATTTGAGGACAAAAACACCATGACATGAGTGTGCCTTGGCGCTGAAAAACAGGAACAACA